GCTTCGCTCGGGTCCAGGGAGGCAAGCCACGCTGGATGCTGGGATGACAGAGAGATGCAGTGCTCAACTGATGCTGAGGTAAGAGATGCTGTGATCACTGTCCCAATGCAGAATGCATATAAATGTTATTATATAAAGCTGGAGGATATGGATTCTATTTTAGATTGTGATAGACCAGATATATTTTATAATGTAGACAGTCTTGTGCATCCTGAAAGAATTAACTGATTGTAGAATAACACAATATGTGAAATTTGGTCCAATTCGCTTGTGCCATTTTGTATATTACTACTTAGAAAAACATAAAAATGAAACATAATTCAATTAATAATCAATTAAAGTGCTTATGGCACAGAGTAATGTAGGATTGTGGGGTTAATGTGTTTTATAAAGCCTGTTTTTGCAAAGGAAACTCACAATGACACATTTAGATGCAGAAATAGACAATTTGACTCGCTTCACTTATAATGTAATAACTCCTGTTTAGAAGCTGTTATTTGAAAGATTATTTTTTCTGGTACTTTTTGGCATTTAGTGGCATCAAACAAAGTATTTGCAGAGAGCTGGACCTAATAGAACCTGAATTACAGAATTTCAAAAAAATAATTTCTTTTAAAACTCCAAAAGCGCCTATGTTTTTTTTGTGTTTATTGTAATATTTGACAAATATATAATGTTATTTATAAAGAATTACACTCATATTTTGTAGTTCAAAGGGTTTTCTTTACAATGAAACCATTTTTTTTCATTTCCTCCATTGTATGTGTGTAGGGTAAACATTTGAATTTGAGTATGTCAAATTTAGGCGAAAATACCAAAAAACGCCCAGAGCATAAGTGGTTTTAAAGCATGCGTGCAGCACGTGCATAACAGTCTGAGCGCAAGCTGTACCGGTGGTCAATAAGAATAAAGCGCAGATATGCTGTTCTAAATGGACGTCGGGAACAGGATATTGTTAGACCTCCTGCTCACGTTCAAATTACACCAGAGTTACCGACCACTACCGCGTTTTATTTGGGAATTTAATCGCGCGGCGCAAAAAATCCGGTCGACTCCGGTAATGCAGACCTCTAGTCCAAGGAACCACACAAAAATAAGCCTTTATTAATCAATAAAATCTGCCCTGTAATCATAATTTAAGTGAAAAAGAAGTTGGTGTTTTACTGCCTCTGTGTTCATTTCAGCTGGAAATTACAATGAACTTTGTGTATAGGTATGTTTTGCAAAAATGTACGTTTAGGCACATTTTTTCAATGAACCTATGTCGGATGATTTATGGACAATCTGATGAGAAATGACTGCAGTCTTTGGTATACTGGCACATCTTAGAACAGTTTGAAACAGTGATGCCTTCTAAAACGTTAGAGGAGAAACCCGAGATTACTGGGATCTCTTTCACAGTAGGTTTCAGCAGAAGACTCAATTTTCTCTTCATTTAATCTGACTGCTTTCTAGGAGAAAATGTTAAGATATTTCATTTTAGATTTGTCTTTTCTGTGGTCAGTGTTTATCTGTGGCTGCTGGTATTTCATTAATCACTTAAAGGGGTCATATGATGCTTTTTTAAAGATCATTATTTTGTGTATTTGGTGTAACAGAATATGTTGACATGCTTTAATGTTCAAAAAACACATTATTTGTCAAATACTGTACATTATTGTAGGTCCTCTATGCCCTGCCTCTCTCAAACGCTTCGTTTTATACAAAGTCCCTCCTTCCGACAAGCGCAGTCTGCTCTGATTGGCCAGCTGACCCAGTGCATTGTGATTGGCCGAACACCGCAAGCACTCGTCGGAAATGTAACACCCCTTACCATAATCGCGAGCTTCATCTTTCAAAATAAATGTAAAGACAGAGCCCGAAAGGGGAACAGAGTCACGTGACAGACACAGTGATGAAGCTGGTAACGTTATGTGTTTGCAGTAGGCTACACAAGCCACGGTTAAGACAGCTGACTCCACTGTGATGTGACCCCCCCTCTCTCTCTCGCTCTCTCTCGCTCTCCCTCTCTCTCTCTCTCGCTCTCTCGCGCGCTCTCTCAATTCAATTCTCAATTCAATTCAAATAGCTTTATTGGCATGACAAAGTTTTTCAGTTGGGGTGCAATTATTAAATTGGGGAAATATTTTGTTTATTTTGGGATAATAGTGGTCTCTAATGGTTTGGTATTTGGGGCATTCTGTGAGGAAGTGCAGCTCTGTTTCGATCTCTTGCTCTCGCTCTCTCTCTCGCTCTCTCGAGCTCTCTCTCCCTCTCTCTCTCTCTCCCTCTCTCGCTCTCTCGCTGGCTCGCGCACACACACACACACACACACACGATGTGCAAAA